CCATTTTTTTATTAAGAGGAAAAATTCCTAGCCAGGCTGAGAAAGCTCATATCAGGTTTCAGCCTGATTCATTTCAAAACCACCATGAAAATTGGGACATTTTCTTCACACCACAATGGGTTAGTCATGGAAATTCTGCCTTAATCTCAGCTCCCCCAGCCACAGTCATGAGAGCATGCTCTGTGCCACTGAAAATTTATGTTACAGTGCTGAAGAGCTGCCCCCTTCACTGTCTGAAAGCAGAAGTGAGTTGAAGTTCAAGGTCTGAGGTTCCCTTTTCAACAAGTGACCTCATCTTTGGTGCATCTTCTTCTTTCTTGTTTGTTATTTCCCCAAAGTTGCTTTTACGAGCTCCAACTGTAGAAAGTTCCACGTAGCTGAGTCTGTGTGAGGAGGTTAAGAGTGTGGCTCCCCTGCAGTCCTCGGCCCTGCTTGTATTGTGGAATGACAGAGACGAAATGCTTTTCTGGGCCATCTGTTATGGGGATGCTGACTGAGGCTGCTCGCTGAGTGGCCAGGCTTCAGCTTGTGCGGGGCCTTTTTAGTGCAGACCTCAGCCAGTGAAACAGCATGGATGGGCTGGCTGGGCTGTCTCTGCAGCGCTGGCACCAAAGGCTGCCCACCACTCCCCGCCCCCCCCACCAAGCTGCTGCCTCGCAGCCCACCAGCAGCCCCCACTCTATAAGCTGCATGCCTGTAATCAGAGTTCTTTCTTGAGAGAGTCGGTTCATCCGTGGGCTTGCTCGTGTGTTCCTTCATTCACCGGACAGCCAGTGTGCCTGCTCCAGGAAGGCGCTAGTGTGAGAGCACAGAGACGGGCCCCTGCCCTCCCAGGGCTCACAGTCATATGCCGCACAGACCAGGCCTCTGAGTCACTTGGAAAGTGTGACTTAGGACAGATCACTGTCTCACACGGTGTCAAACGCTCAACTCCCCCGGGACTTCATTCTTTCAGCAGGCTTGGGAGGGTGGGTTGGGAGCACAGATGGAGTCCAACAGAAAATTCCTGGATGCTGCCTGGTCTGCACACCAGGGGGTGTTCTGGGTCTGTTGTAAGGTGAGCCCGAGGCCACCCCACCAACTCTTCTTGTCCCCATCCTGCCCCGCTCTGCATGCTGGACTCCTCGAGTGCCTCCCTCTCACCCCAGCTGCCACATTTCTGACTTGTCACCCCTGTGACCACTTTGGTTACCACCTGATCACCTCTGTTGCCCACCCACCAGGTCAGCAGGGCACCCACCCCGTGAGGAGCCTGACTCCTGACGCCTCACTGGACCCTGGAACCTCTGCCACCCCCCTGGTGGCCCTTGGCCCAGCGCCCTCTCCTCTCCTCCGCTTGCTCAAGTCCTGACTCGCCCCTACCCTGCCCCCCGCCTCTGCTACTAACATCCTAATACACCTGGGGAGACGGGGAGCCTGCCTGGCCTAGACTGAAACCCCAGACTAACCCAGTCAGTCCCACAGTGGGAGCCAGGCAGGAGCCTTTTTATTTTGAATTGTCCAGGTGGCTCTTCTCCACAGCCAAGGTGGAGAACCAGAGTCAGCAGGCCTTTGATTGTTCTTTCAGCCTGCTCCAGTGTTGCCTCCTGAGCTGGCTTCAGTGTCCAGGATGGAGCCATGATCTAGGTGGTTGCTCTCAGGTCCTGGCAGCGCCCAGCCATGGCCCTCAGCGCTGACTTGTTTACTGGAACCTTACAACCCTCTCCTTCGCCTCCTTCCCTCCTGGCTGCTGCTCAGCATTTGCTTCCCCCACCCAGGCTTTCTGTGCCCCGCAAGTGCCTCCACACCCCTCACCTCCATCCTTCTGCTAGCAGACCTCCCTGCCCTGGGCCTTAATCCCTTCCTCTAGGGCCCAGTTGAGGAGCTGCCCAGAGAACCTGCTAAATTCACCAGATGTAGAGCATATGCAAAGATGTTTGTGCAGCACTCCTCCTTAATAAAACTACAACAGAGAGAGAGGGAATGATTTGAAAACTAATTACCCATTGGTAAGGAATTGATTCAGTAAATCATGAACTGCAGTGCAGTGGAAGGTTCTACAACAATCAAAATAGACACATGGAATATAATGTTTAGTGAAATAAGCAGAATGCATTACCACATGTAATGTGAACTAGGCAATCTATTTATAGAAAAAAGCCTGAAGGGGAAGCTACCAAAATACTAATAGTGTTGTCTCGGCATGGTAAGGTTATAGTTGACTTTGTTTTGTTGTTATCTTTTTATGGCTTTGAAAAATTATACACTGTGCACATATTCCTTTTATAGTTGGAGAAAAAAGCAATTTTTAAAAAATTAATTCAGATGTTAGTGTCGGATGATGGCCTTTGGCACCAATCCAAGTGTGTAATTGGGAATTTCCATTTCAGACAACATGGAGCTGGTAGAAGCGAGTCCTGGGGTGGGGACTGAAGGGAAATCTTTTAGGAAAATAAGATTCTCTTAAAGGTAAGGCCCCTGAGAGGGTCAGGCCAGTGAACAGGCTCTGGAGGGATCCACCCCACTCTCCACAGAGCTGGCTGGTAAGTGGGGGCCCTTTTCAGAAGCCTCTCTGTGGCTCTGGGTGCTGCTCGCCTCCTCATTGGCCTCAGAGTACCGCTGATGCTTTTCTGGTGCTGTCTCTGCAGAGTTAGCCTTTGGTTACAGTTGCTCTGCCCTGATAAGATGAGTTCATGTTGAGTAATTATTCATTCACCAGGTGCTGGAATAAAGTCATGTCATCTAATCCCAGGGGTAATGTAATGGTTTGTCCTGACCAGTGAGTTGTGCTTGGTTTTGCATATTCCACTCAAGGAAGTAGTTTGCAGACAGCACCTGCCTGTTCATTAATAGAATAAAGCTGTCACACGGCCAGACTGCTTATGGTACCCCTCAACAAAGGAGCACTCCCCAAAATAAGGAGGGGAAAAAACACACATCATTTTTATCTTTTCTGTCCCGAGCCAGCATATTTGCAGTTGTGGCAGTTTCAGATGCTTTCAGTTGCAAAGAAAGAATATCTGACTAAAATTAGCTGACATAAGGGGCGGGGGTTTATTTCACATGGTGAGAAGTTAGGACACTGTCATTCCAGGGTTGTCGAGTGTCTCCTTGAGGTGATCAGTCACCCAAGCTCTTTCTGTTTTTCTGCTCTGCTACCCTCAAGATCTCCAAGAGCATCTCCCTCGTGGTTCATAAAAGAGTGCACTAGTCATTTGTGCAATGGCAGGAAAAGGATTGAAGATTACTGCCGCAGGAAGAACAGGAAGGGACTTCCCTGGCGATCCAGTGGTTAAGACTCTATGCTTCCAATGCAGGGGGCATGGGTTCAACCCTTGGTCAGGGAACTGAGGTCCCAAATGCGGTGGGGTGTGGGCAAAAGAAAAAAAGAAGTGACGGGAAGAGACTAGAAACATGCCAGGTACACTGGTAGCTAGTGCTGGAGTCGAGATTTGAACCTAGACAGCTTAGCTCAAAATCCATGCCTGTCTTAGTCTGCCAGACCTGCCATGACAGAACTTAAGCAACAGACATCTATTTCTCACAGTTCTGGAGGCGGTGAAGGCCAAGATGATAGCACTAGCAGATGCTGTGTCTGTTGAGTCCCCTCCTCCCGGTTCACAGACTCTGTCTTCCCACTGTGTCTTCAAATGGCAGAGGGATAAGTGGGCCCTAGTGTCTTTCTCTTCTTAGAAGGACATTAAGCCCATCCACAACTCCAGGCATCCTATTCTTGCACAACAGCTCCCTAAGTAGGAAGGAAGACGAGGCAGGAGCACACCTGGCATTCTCCTCTCTTGCCCCTCTCTAGGCAGAGAGGAAATCTCCCCCAGAGGCTGTCAGTGGACTTCCTTTCATTTCTCAGTGACCCAAATTGGGCTGCATGGCCACCTCTAAACCATTTGCAGGCCACGAGGAGCAGGATCACCATCACCAGATTAGTCCAAACAAGTTTCTGCTGAGCACATTGTCCTAAAACAAGACTGGGGCTCTGTTGGGAGAACGGGGATGGTTTGGAAAGGCAGTGTCAGGCACAGGCAATGAAGCATGGTCTCCCGATCAGGAAGAGGGGGTGTGGTCCCAGTCACCAGCGGTAATGAGTCTCAAGGTTGGTCCCTTTCTGCCAGCCATCCCTTTGTCCATCACACACAGATCCACACTTGGTTTATAAATCCCCAGAACTCTGTAGAACCAGGCCACCCCTTTTGCCTGATTTGGTTGAAGGAGGTGACAAAGTAAAGGCAGTGATGATCTGACTGAATGATGTGCCGTTCATCTGAGACGTCAGTCCTCAAGTTGCGGGTGCCCCGAGGACAGGCTCCCTTCTACCACACTCACTGGGTTTGCCTCGGTGTCCAGCTCTGTGTGTGGCACAGAGTTGTTGCTCAGTCATCATGGAGAGATCGAGTGCGCAGACTGGTAACTGAAGATGATATTGTCTCCACTGAGCGAAGCTTCTGGAAACAGACTGGTATGGGGCTCTGTGAGTCATCTAAGGGAACAGAAGCTTGCTGTCCATTTCCAGGCAGTTAAGAGTCTTAACAGTAGGGTGATGGTTCAGCCAGAGGACAAGGTTGCCCTCATTTGTCTTCTGGAATCAACGACCAGCGTTCACTTGCCCAGGGATATGGTACCTTGTGATAAGTTCTTATTGTATTGCGACTACATGAATGTCGTGTCTACCAAAATGGACTTGGCTTTGCGGAAGAAAGAGGATTTCTCCCTTATTTCTCTTTCTGTAGCTTTTGAATATTTATGAATATAGCTATTGAAGGGGGGAAGAAAAATCATGTCTCTCTTTCCTCCATGTTGGCTTGTTAAACCAAGACGGAAATGATTCTTTCATTCAGTTTGAATCACACTGATGAGGTGACCAAAGGATGTAAAACAGCCTTCATAAATGATGAAGTATAAACCAGACATAAAGGATAATTATTAAGGAAAAGACATGCTTGCAGCATAAGAACCTTCCATTACTCTTGTTGATGCACTTTTAAAAATCTGTTGTCCTTTTGTTTTAGACCTAGAAGGTTTTGACTCCGTGGTATCATCTACTGAGAAACTCAGTCACCCAACCACAAGCAGACCAAAAGCCACGGGGAGGCGACCTCCATCCCAGTCTCTGACGTCCGTAAGTGTCTCCTCGCTTCCAGAGGCTGGAAAGCAGGAGAGATTGGGGCCTCTGGCCAAGGGCTGTGCTGCAAGTGGCTGACTGGAGGACCCTCTGGGAGAGGGAGGTCTATGAGCTACACTGCTGACCGGAAGCAATTTGAGAGTCTTCTGGAATCAGGCAGCATTTCCTTCTTTTAGTTCTTTGTGCATTTGCCAGTGAGGTGGGGACTCCCTCGTGCCACTCTCCTCCTCTGTCCTTCCACGGATTTTTGTTTGAACCTGAAGTGAAATTGGTAAGGGGAAAAACAATGTCATGTTTTCTGATGGGAAAGGAGGGTAAGGCTGGTTTGATCTATAAACAAAAGAGAACTTTTGAGGGGAAGAAAGGGTAAGCTGCTCTCCAGTGCTTGGCAGTGGCCCAGCATTTTTCTCTCAAAGCTGTGTCTTCGGCACCCCTGCATGGAACCCCACACAGACCTTTAGGAGATGGGTTTTAAATGTACCAGGCACCTGATCATGCAGGAGAGAACAGTCAGAACACTCCAGATAACCCAAAGTTTTCATTTGGGTCATTTTGAATAACTTTGTTTCTTATTCAAAACCTATAATGCATTTATTATAGCACGTTTGAAGTACAAAAGGGGGAGGAAAAACGTAAGTTCCCTGTAGTCCTGTTTCCAAGAGCTAAGACCTGTTCACCTCCTGCTGTGTATCTTGGATTTCTTCAAAACAGGACCACACAGAATACATGGTTTTGGAAGTTGCTTTTCCCCTTCCACTGTGCACCTTCTCCCCATCATTACATATCCTCCCATCACGTCACAGTGAATGTGGCTGCCCCTGGTGCTCTAGCCTGGGGATACATGAGCATTTATCTAGCCAGTGCAGTATCACTGGACATGTATGTTTCCATTCATCCTAAACACTGAAGTGAAGGTCACTGTAGAAAAATGGTGATGCTTCTGCAAGCAGCGTATGTATGTATGTATGTATGTGGGTGGGTCTTTCTGTCTCTATATATTGAGTTGCCTTGTCCTTGCTGGGACTATGGGACTAAAGCCTTCACCCAGATACCAAAGAATTAACCTTTTTCAGGTTTCTCAGGACACTTTCTAATGATCCAACCTAAGGAGTGGTCATTTAGAAGAAAAAGAATGCCACTTCCTTTGAACCTCGTCTCTCGTATCCACTGAGTCTGGAAGTGTGGTTTGAGTGGTCCTGTGATTCCTCATTGTAGGAAGCATATCTAACTGTGTATTGCCATCTTTGGGGAAGAAAGGCTTGAAAACATGGCTTGCTTTTTCACTGTGTACTGTGTCAGTACCACCTTCCTTCCCTCTCACCTTTCCATACCCTCCTCAAACACTTCATCAACACACAGACTATTTAATTACTTCTTAGTATCTCTGTATTTAAATATTTCATTCTACCTCTGATATATTCTCTATGCATCCTTCATTATTTTTGTTTTCTGTCCAAATTCTTCTCAACTTTTCAAGATCTAGAGGACCCTGAGGTATCAGAAGTAAATACAGAGAAGTTTGAGTTTCCACACCACCCCCCACCCCGCCCCTGCACCACACTCTTGGTCCCTACAGCCTATGTCTGGGAGTTTGGATACATTTGGGGGCGACTGGGTAAAGACATGTCATCTTCACTCCACCTTTAGATTACATGTTTGTTCATTCACTCATTCCACAAATATTGATGGTTATCTGCTGTGGGCTCAGCTCTGCACCAGGTACCAAGGCTGCAACTGGGAATGAGATAAATATGGTCCCTGTCTGCAGAAAGCTTATGAAATAGTGGCTCATACTTTGACATATTATATGAAACAATTTTATTTGTGGATTTAAGGCAGCAGGATACATTTGTGCTTTAAAGAAGTACAATTACTGTACTCTTTTCCTTCATTCCTGTCCATTCCTGTATACAGTGAATTCATGTTTACTCTTTCCATTAGCACCTTCCCATTAGGTTTTTCATAGCAAGATGGGACTACTGGGTATGAACATATTCCTAAAAGGCAATTGGAGGGAATGATGGAGGAAACACATTAGTCCTGTCTCTGTAGCCTGGGGCCTCTCAACCTAGTTTGAGCTTTTTATTGAATTCAAAGATCCAACATTGATTGACAGCTCATGAATCACAGGTTATATAGGAGGACACTGGCTTTTTGAATAAAATCTGAAAATAAAAGGCATTGTAAAGTAGCTAAGCTTATAGTAAAAGAAAGCTTGGTTGGGGAGGATGTAGGTAATTGGATTTTCAGATTAAATGAAGATTAACAAACAAGACCTTTTCACTTTAAAACATTGCTTAAACATTCCCTCAATGTAATGTGTAGTAAGTAGAGTAAACAGAAGAAAATGAATAGTATTTGTAGGTATGATTTTTCTATAACGGTGCCACACGGTGACCCTGAATATGACTATTTTTCCCACTGCAGAGGTGGAAGGCACAGAGGTAAGGCTGAATAGGAGCTCACCTAACAATATCCATGGAAGATTCCTCCTTGCCACAGGAACTCTGATTTTTCTTTGCTTTGTCCTAAAATAGGGAAATTCTAACACAGTCATCTTCTCTGACCAAGTGATTCCAGTGAATTGGTTTATAGTCATCCAGCTTTTTCAATCTTCACAGCAAGGCAGAAAGGGTAGGAGTGTTATCCCCATATTTCACCAAGAGATGCTGCCATTCTGTAAATACACCTTAGCAAAGATTGAATCCATAATGGATAATGATCGTCCATAGCCCTGAGGGCAGCGTTTTAGCAGCAGGTAACAGATTAGAGCATGGTGTGCTGGCAGGCAGGGCTGTTCTCTGGGGCCGGAGATAACACTGCTTACTGGACTGCAGGGCTGGTGATCCCTTACTCCCAGAAATGGTGTCCTCTCAGGCAAGCCCTTTTAGGCACTTCACTATGCAGCAGATTCGGTGGTTCTGAAAAAGGATCAGGAGAGAAGGGAGGAGTGGCAGGTTAGAGGCAGCTTCCTCTCAACCTGAATGTCCTTCCCCACTGGACTGTCCACCCTGTGAGAGCAGGAACTGTGTCTGGCATGTCACTGTCAAGTTCAGTACCAAGCTGAGTGCTTGGCGCATGGTAGCAAATGTTTACAAAATAGAGAGGGTCTCTGAGGGATGAAGGAAGCTGGAAAAGATAGATGGATAGATGGATGCTTGCACAGATGAAATGACCAACAGGCATCAGTGGAAAGATCCCGTAGAAAGAAAGATCCCTGGTCAAGGAAATCATCTTAGTCCCAGTTCTGCCACTCTCTCAAGCACACAGATAATAGCACACTTTCTGCCTGGCGTTATAATGAGGAGACAAACAAAATAGAAGTGTCGAGTGCTTTGAAAAGCATACTGCATTATGTTAACAAAAGCTATGTCAGCTAAGGTGTAACTCTGACAAAAGCATTTTCTTTTGGCTTTATCCAGTCTTCCCTTTCAAGCCCTGACATCTTTGACTCCCCAAGTCCTGAAGAAGATAAAGAAGAACACATTTCGCTTGCACACAGAGGAGTGGACACATCCAAGAAAACGTCAAAGACTGTTACCATATCCCAAGTGAGTGACCAGCCATGGCGAGGGTATCCTGACAGCATGGGACCCCTGCCTTTTCATGTCTGCTCTGATGATGCATTATAAACCAAACAAGGAGAAACAGATGTCTTAGTCATGTGAAGCTGCTGAAACACAGTGCCACAGATTGGGTGACATAGAAACAACAGAAACTGATTTCTCCCATTTCTGGAGGCTGGCTGCCTGAGATCAGGATGTGCTGGCATGGTTAGGTTCTACTGAGAGATCTCTTCAGGATTGCAGGCTGATGACTACTCTTTGTATCTTCATATGGAAGAAAGAGAGTGAGAGAGCTCTTTGGGGTCCCTTTTAGAAGGGCAACAGCCCCATTCATGACAGCTCCATCCTCATGTCCTAATCACCTTCCAGAGGTCCCATGTCCCAATATCATCCCAAGGGGAGTTAGGGTTTTCACATAGGAATTTGGGGAAGACACATTCAGTCCGTTACAACACACAGCACAAATTTTTTGTCATTCTTTGCTGACAGTGATGATTTTGGTCATCAAAATCCCCAAGGAATGTTACAGTCTCCAAAACTGAGCAGAATCCCATGTTCTCTCTTATGGCTTGATCCCCTTTTCATACCAGCAACCACATACACATGCACACACACATATTTCCTCACACACCATCACCATCACAACAACCAGAACAGTTTTACAAAGATTGCATGAAATATGTTAAATGCTGTGCCCTCTGCCCACAGATTGTGACTTTTATGTTCAAAACTGGTGGTGTCACAAGTTAACAATTGGCAGTTCATGAATGTGAATAACTAATGGGATTTCTTACAGAAAAGCTTATTTGGATTCATTTATTGGGATAAATTTATAGTCTAAAAACATTTTAATTTCACCGCATGCCCAGGGATGGTATAGCTCTTTTATTATTGGCTTATGAGGAACAGAGAACACATCATTTAGCAACTGTGTGTGGCTTCTAAAGGCTAGCCTAAACGAGTTCTGTTCATCCTGTGATTGTGAGGTATGGTTTTAAAATGCCATGTTCTCGTGCTGAGAGAAGCCAGTCAATTGAAGTTATTTTCTGTAAACATTTGCAACTTCTTTCTATCTAAAAACAGAAAGCAGAAGTCATTTTTAAGTCACTCACAGCAGGAATTAACACAAAGAAATCAAAGGTGATGTGGAATTTTCCTTCTCATAGATTTACAGATTTACATGTATAGATTTTCTTAAAAAGCTGATATAGTCAGCAAAAATATGATCCTATAAAGCAGATCGATTGTAATATTTACAAAACTGAAGCAGTCTGCCTTTATAAAAGGATTCCATTTGCATAAATTGGATTTAGATCCATTTTTTCTGGTGACCATAGGAATGCCTAGAGTTGCACTCTCTCCCACATCCCTAGAGTGTCTCTGTAGCGACATCTACTGGGGGGCCTTGGCTCTTCACATTTCTGAGTTTCACTGTTCTGTTCCATTTCTCTTTCCTGGAGTTGTCATGTCTTATTTATTGCTTCTAGAAATTCCTCTTGAAATAACTAATCAGGACATTTGGTGGCCTGTACTCTGTGAGGGCTTATAACAAACACGTGTTAGCTGAAGTGATTTGGGAGGGTGAGTCACGTAGGAAATGCAAAGAGAAGCATCAATCCAAGAAATGTCTGGAAGTCACTGTGACGACATGGGTGGGTTGAGGGACATATGTGAGAATGCAGGGTGGGAAATGAGGAAAGGTATGAACTCAGGAATAGAGAAGAAGCAAAGAAAATCAGGCCAGGAGAGAGGACCCTGAGATTTGGGCATGGGCAGCCCTGGTCATGTTACCAAGCCTGAGGATCCAGCTGATATCAGAGGAGGGGACTGAAGCTCAGTTCTGCTACTCTTGAGCTCTGAGACTTGGGGAATTTCTCAACCACATCCCTAAGCCTCAGTTTCCTGCTCCATCAAGCCTCATTGCAGTTGTCCAGCCAACGTCTGGCATATAATCAGTGCTCTGTAAATGTCAGCCCCTTGCCCCTCTTACTCTGACTCCTACTGACAGTCAGCACAGGATGGTGGAGCATTCTCTCTGGCAGCAGAAAGTGATTTTCTCAATGATAACTTGGCAGAGAAAAGGCGAGCAGAAAGGCTGGGAACGATGGCCCATCTGCTTCTGGCTGACTCTGCCCAGTTTCTCCCTGCAGCACAGCCTGAGTCCAGGCTCAGCTTCCTCATCATGCCAGCCCAGCCCCAACTTGGCTCAAGCCCTGGGTGCCGGCTGCTGGAGGGAGTCCCGGCTGTGTTGCCCAGCCTCACCAGCAGCCTCGACTCCCTCACCTCCCACCATCCTGTCTACTCCCTCCCCCCTCCCCCCCCCCGCCCCCCCCTCCCCCACCTGCGGCCTGCCCCGCTTCCCTGCCACCCGTGTCTCTCACGCTCCCTGTGCCCTCCTGGCCCCCTCAGGACACCTCTCCATCAGACCTCCCTGTCTGTCTCCTCCATCTTCACCCTTGGCTCTTACTCTCAAGAAATCTTCCAGCTCAGGGTCTCCCCTGTCTTTGAAAGTAAATCCAACCCTTTCTTGATCCTATCTCCTCCTGAGGCTTCTCCAAGAACTTTCTCTTTCTCCTATCTTCCTTTCTCAGCCGAGTGTTTGGAAAGTGAGTTCTAAATCTTCAGGCCATGCCCCTCACCTCCCCTGCAGCTGCCAACCTGCCTTGACTAGAATTCACTCTCCTTGGATCCACCGATCAACTACCCCCAGTTTTGCTCTCGGCACCTCTGGAAGCTCCTCCCGGGGGCGCTCTTCTGGTCTGGCTCCATCCCCTGTCTCACCTCTCCATCTCAGCCCCCAAGAGCCCTCCCCTCTCTCTACCTCTTCAATCCAGGGCTCCTGTAGGCTCCCTGAGTGGGCCTCTTCTCTTCCCATTCTGTGTCGTCCACCCTCATGGCTTGCACTTCATCTGGTGATTTCTCTGGCCCAACTCACTTTTTCGGTCACTGACTCTGCCCATTGGACTTCCCCTTCGGCTCTCCATCAGGCTTCTAAAATTCAGTGTGTCTGAAGCTGAGATTGTTGTTTGGGCCTTCAGCCTGTTCTTCCTCCCATGAAAGGGTCAGCCTAATGCCTCCTTCCTCATCCCTACTGGTGGCCCTTGGTCTGTACCTCATCTCACCTGCTGTGGCCTGTCTAGGACCACATCCTCGTGACTGTGGTCACCACCTCTCTCTTGCCCCCTGACATTCTAGCTTCCCCTGACTGCAGTTCACTATTCGGTATTTAGGCCTTTGTCTCACGCACTGCCCCCTCTCACATCCATACATGATGTGTGTGGTCATGTATGTAGTCATGTATGGATGTGAGAGTTGGACTATAAAGAAAGCTGAGCACCGAAGAATTGATGCTTTTCAACTGTGGTGCTGGAGAAGACTCTTGAGAGTCCCTTGGACTGCAAGGAGACCCAACCAGACCATCCCAAAGGAGATCAGTCCTGGGTGTTCATTGGAAGGACTGATGTTGAAGCTGAAACTCCATTACTTTGGCAACCTGATGCGAAGAGCTGACTCAATGGAAAAGACCCTGATGCTGGGAAAGATTGAGGGCAGGAGGAGAAGGGGATGACAGAGGATGAGATGTTTGGATGGCATCACCGACTCAATGGACGTGGGTTTGGGTAGACTCCGGCAGTTGGTGATGGAGGGAGGCCAGGGAGGCCTGGCGTGCTGCGGTTCATGGGGTCACAAAGATTTGGACATGACTGAGCGACTGAACTGAACTGCCCCCTCTAAAACCACCCCTGTTCTGACCACCTCCTGGTCCTCCTCTTCATCCTGGTACCCTCCCTCCAGGACACTGGGCCTCTCCTGGGTGCTTCCCTTCCTGCCTGTGCACTCCCCCCTTATTTGCAGTGTGTTGGTTGGTCTGTCTGTCTGCATCTCACTGGGTTCTCAGCCCCTTGAAGGTCAGAAAAATGTTTTACTCACTTCAGAGTTTGAAGAGCCTAGGAGGTCCATGGGCCTCTGGACAAGTACATTAAATCAATTAGGAACTACCTGTTCAGAAAGGTGGTCAAATTTAAAATACATAAAGGGACAAAGGCAAAAGGAGAAGGGGGAAGCAGAGGTTGAGATGGTCGGATGGTATCACTGACTCAATGGACAGGAACCTGAGCAAACTCCAGGCAACAGTGGAAGACAGAGGGGCCTGGCATGCTGCAGTCCATGGAGTTGCAAAGAGTCAGACATGCCTGAGCAACTGAACAACAACAAGGGGTTGCCTGCAGCAAGCAGGCCCTTGAGGGCTCGTGGAGGAAGGAATGAATGGGTGGAGCATGTGGAGCTTCAGGGCAGGTGATGTAGACAGAGCATTGTAGTAAACAGGGCAGGGCAGTGCCCTACATGCCTCCCTGGCCTGAACCCTGTCTGTCCTGCCTCATTGCAGGTGTCGGACAACAAAGCGTCCCTGCCACCGAAGCCGGGGACCATGGCTGCAGGCGGCAGCGGGCCGGCTCCTCTGTCCTCGGCAGCGTCCTCCCCTCTGTCATCCTCTTTGGGCACAGTTGGACACAGAGCCAACTCCCCATCTCTGTTTGGCACGGAAGGCAAACCAAAGATGGAGCCTGTGGCCAGCAGCCAGGCAGCCATGGAGGAGCTGAGGACGCAGGTCCGGGAGCTGAGGAGCATCATCGAGACCATGAAGGACCAGCAGAAGTGAGTGTCTGCAGCCCCTTCTCAAACCACCTCCTGGAGTGCTTTCCGCAGGTCAGGGATGAGTTCTGCCAGCCTGGGTCCCAGCTTCCCTGGGGATAGGCCAGCCTCCCCCCAGGATGATGGCAGCAGGGGCGGGAGTGGGTGGGAGAACCCCAGAGGCTTCAGGTAGCTCAGCTGCACCTGGGAAGGGCCTGGGCTGGCCGCAGGGTGGACAAGGAGGACTCAGCCATGAGGACCAATGTGCTGAGCAGGCTGTGAAAAAAGATCTTCACATCCCCAGAACATGTGGTATGCGCACGCACCACTGCTTAATCAGCCCAGCGGCCTTCTGGCATCAGCGAAGTTACCATTTCTTCAGTTAGCTGCCCTGTGTAGGAACTGGCTTGCATTTAGGGACACAGAGTGTGTAAAAGATGCAGGGACTTTTTCAACCTGAGGCTCAACACTCAGCACACACACACCACCCAGGACACTGCGTGCAGTGACAAAAATGGTAAAAGGGCTGGGAGTCGGGAGGCACTTACCTGAGTAAACTGGGGCGCAGAGAGTTTAAGGACCCGTTAGCTCTTTCTGGAGGGAACAGGTGAGGCACCTCAAGGAGGTGTTTCCTGACAGGGTCTCCAAAGGCGACCTAGCACCCCAGCTGGGGAACAGCACGGCGGGCTCAGAGGCACCCGCAGTCATACCCTGGGGAGGACACCTGAGGCTGAGCACCTGCCTACCACTGAAGTGTTCATGTACTTTGGGGAATAATTGGGTTAAACCAAGTTAGTTTCTTCTCTAGAGCACTGCTCAGAGCCTTCACTGTGCCTGGGAAGACAGAGGCTAGTGTATGCAGTGTTTCCCAAACATCATTGTCTTTTCCCCGAAGCATTCTAAGATAAGGCTCCTGTAGAACTCACTTTGAGCCCTGCGGGTGTATCCTGCTTCTGTTCCGCTCAGGCTGGAGGTGTCCTATGAACTCATCCCCTGCCTGGCAAGGGTTCATCAGACAAATATGCAGAACTGCAGGATGGGACTAGAGTGGGTCTTGAGGGGCCAGCCAGGCTGCCCCTAACTCCTCCAAGTCCCCAGCTCCTAGCTGACCCTGCACAGGAGAGCTGTGGGTACCCACAGGCCCCACCATGTCCAGGAAATGGGTGTCCCCTGCCTAGACAGTGACCCCACAACCCCAGTTTGTCCCAGAGCACTGGTTCTCAGCCTTCTGACCAAGATGAGTCAGCCACTCCTGGATCCAGGGCTTCCTGCCTTGGGGCCCTCCTTCTGGGAAGTTCCTAGAACTTTCCTGCTTGTCTGAAATGCCCTGTGCCTGTGTCCTGAGTGCAGAGTCACCGGTGCCTGGGGGCTGCTCCACCCCATGTTGCTCTCTCCACTCTGAAGCCTGGGTGTGGTCGGCTGGAATTGTGCTTCCCCAGCCAACTTCTTCTCAAATCAGACATCACAGTGGCTCCTCTCCAGGGCCTGGCCTCCCCGCCCCAGGGTACTGGGTCCCCACCAGTCTCCCACCTTTGCTCTCTGTGTCACTTCCCATGCAGCATTCAGCTCAAGTCTGTGCTGACACTGCTCATTCCCAAATCTGTAGTTCTCGCCTCCCTGTTCTGTCCTGGATCTTCTCCATCAACTCCCCCATTGTCTCCCCTCCTCATAGACACGTACCCTTTTTCAGTAGTTCAAGACTTAGCAACTTCCTTCACACCTCCTTCCCCAATGAACTCCCCCACCTGAACTCGACTCCTTCCTGGAGTCATGCTGTGTGTTTCAGGCCCCATCTTATACTTCTCTCCTAAACCCTAAGTAGGGCCCACTGAGATCATGGTACATAGCGTGTGCATGAATAAATACACAAAGCATGACCAGTGCATGTCAGAGAACCCAGTGTGTCGACCACAGTGCTAGGACACCAGTCCAACTACAAGGACCACCATGGTGCTCATCTGAAGTGAGCAAATGCTGTATAAAGCCTCTGCAGTCTTTGCTTTTTAATTTCCCAGTCTAGTTTGCACACATGCATGTGTAAAATGGAGTGTCTAGTACCCTAAAATGGAGCACAGCTCTCTGACCAGAGTTAGCATGGTTGTAGTGAACTCAGTCTAGAGCGAGTTTGTGAGATGATTCATTTTGTTCTACTTCATTATTTAACGTTAGAAAGGGCACCGGGCTTTGTGTTCTAACTTGTGTCTACTTTGTCTATGACATAATTACTGTATACTTAGTTCAGTTCTTTTACCTGCAAGTTTTCAGGTGTTCCTATTTGTAGGATTCTGTGAGAATATCTGAAAACATATTGCTAACCTTTCAGTAATTTAAAATTCGTGAAAATAAAGGAAATATATATATATACATATGCTGCTGCTGCTTCTAAGTTGCTTAATCGTGTCCGACTCTGTGCAACCCCCACCAGGCTCCCCATCCCTGGGATTCTCCAGGCAAGAACACTGGAGTGGGTTGCCATTTCCTTCTCCAATGCATGAAAGTAAAAAGTGAAAGTGAAGTCGCTCAGTTGTGTCCGACTCTTAGCGACCCCATGGACCGTACCCTACCAGGCTCCTCCATCCATGGCATTTTCCAGGCAAACATACGGGAGTGGGGTGCCATTGCCTTCTCTGATATATACATATATATGTGTGTGTGTGTATATATATATATATGGGGAGTGGTAAAATGTCTGCAATGAATATTGTTGTGTAAGTACATGTAAAGACCAGCAATTCTGGAAGAAAGGACTTCCAGAAGAGGGAAGATGACCAAATATGAGCCTGGATACCTAGAGACTAGACCCTGAGCAAGTCAGGCCACCCCCCTGAGCCTCAGGTTCCCCTTCTTCTTCTAGAAGAAGCTTACATTAAGGGATTTCCAAGGTCACTTCAGACCTATTATTTAATGGCTGCATATTTGGGGAGCCGAGAAATAATGGCCTTTCTATCTATATCAGGCTCTAAGCCTTAGCCGTACAAAGAAAATAGTGTAATGTTCTGTCCACATCTTCTTTGTAAAAGGAACAGATGGATTTTGTAGTGATAAGAGATTTCTTATCTCCTGTTTTAAAAGTCTGGGCTTTGTTTAATATTACTGCCATTTGCTTTCCAGACGAGAGATTAAGCAGTTACTGTCAGAGTTGGATGAAGAGAAGAAAATCCGGCTTCGGTTGCAGGTGGGTCCCTTGGGGTCCTGTTGCCCCATGAGAGGCTCAGTTGAGGGTGGGAGCAAAGTCCAGGCTTTATTTTGAAAATAGATGAGAGTTACTTTTCTACCAATTGAAATGGGCTTCCTGTGACAATTGTCTTAGAATGACACAGCCTTACTCACATCCCCTCCTGGGACCTGGGAAGTCTTGGAGAAGGGAGGCATTAGCAAATGTGCCCCCAGTTGGGTTTCTCATTTGTAATCCATCTCTTTGAAAACTACCCCCCCCTCCGTTTCCGGAGGCCTCATTGTCACAAGTACCAGAGAGTGTGGAGCTAGGGAGACCCCATTTGTGTTTCTGTCATGTGGCCATTGAAGCTCAAAGGACCACAGCTGTCCACACTTGGTGCCTGCTCTTTATTTCTCTACTTCTCCCTGACAGCTGTGTCTGTCCTGCAGGGCATCAGAGCTCTGTCCCCCTCTGGCCTTTCTCTGACCTAACTCAGCCATGACCGAAGGGCAGAGTGTGTAGGAGTTGGAAATGGTGGGCTTTCCACTCTCACGCAGTTGGTTCCTTTGGTGGTTACTGGGATCCATGGTGTTTAAAGGATCGGTAACTGCACGTCGTCACTTTGGGGATGCTGATAGACACCCCCTTGGGCCCAAGCACAGCAGCCTTCCAGCCCTGCCAAGTGGTCCAGTGTGTCAGGACAACCTGCTCCACCCTCTGACCAAGAAACTGGAATTATTGTTGTATTGTTGTTTTTGACAAATTTTGGACATTTGTAGCTGGAGAATTCAAACATCTACCCTCTCCTCGAGCTTCGTGTTGATGTGCCTATTCTTTTGGTTTATATCGTTTCTGGCATCGTGATCAACTCTTCATTCAGATATCATTTCACTCATTTCACCTTTCAAACTGTCAGGTTGATTATTTTCTTTCAATCAACCAAGCTGCTTATCTTTCCAGCTTTTATCTAGCCAGCAAATTGATTGTGATTTTGTTCGGCTCTTGTTTTTCCTTTGTAGATGGAAGTTAATGACATAAAGAAAGCTCTTCAATCAAAATGAATACTTGATAAATGAAATGTCGCATTATTCATCCCGAGTCCAAGACTCAAATTTTATGCCCCAGCCAAAATAACCTTGTGCCAAAAGATTAAAGGTTTGCCTCAACACGTCCCTGTTTGAAAGATTAGCACAAAAGTCTTGATAGCACAACACAAATTCCATCCAAGAGGAGATTCTTCCCCATGGTATAGTCCTGGGTCTGGCACTGGTTGTGACTTAAACAGAGCAAATTGTGCTAAAGGCTTTTTTACTATGAGATCTCATACGAAACGAAAACTCAGGCAGTTTAGTCCATAGTGGTACTATTTTGATGATATTTTCCATTAATAAAATGTAATTTTAGATTCTTCGTTTACAAGCTTTATAATTTTATGATTTTTTTTTAAAGCGTGTTTTGCCACAGATTTCCCCAGTGTTTGTACTACACACAGTCCGGAGTGAGCGTCCCATTCTTTTCGCGTTACGTGAAAAGCTGCCTCGCTCTGTGTCCCCCTCAAGGATTCTATTACATATGCAATTTTAGGTCCAACCTGTCCCTTCTCCTGCCAGCAAACCCCACCACCCTAAGATAAATTGTAGCTTATATATGATGGTATATTTACAAAAAGAGAAAGAGAAAATCTGGTATTTGCAATGATCTGTGCCTTCTTTTTACCACCCTCTTGATTGGAGCTTTTGTGATGCAGCTACCATGATTTAAAAGACACACACACACATTTTTTTTCTAGCCACTTATCAAAGTCCACTAGAGGCCACTGTCTTCAAAGCTTCTCTCGCCTAACCAAAGGTCTTAAGAGGAGACAGCTGTGAAGTTGGGCGCGCTCTCTCTTTGGTACCAGCTGTGACTTTTAAGTTCTAGTTTTAGGTTGTTCATGAACTAGAAATGTCACCCCTGCTTGATTTTTCATCAGCCAAGTTAAACCCCTGCTTCCTGTCCTTTGCACCTTTTGAGTGAACAGAATATGCATTATTAAAGCAAAAATAAATAAAAGTAAAAATGAAAACCAAGGGGGGGGAATGTTGTATTCTTTCCTGCACTGGGCCATCGTGTGTGCTGTTGTGGAAACTGTACTCACATAATGTCATTTGCCTTGCTTTCTTGTAACCCTTTCCTCAGGTCCAAGAGAAAGGGGGGAGGTGCTTGTTGAAGTGTAGCCGTTGGCTCGCTCTTGCATTCCTGGAATTGCTTTTTCCGACCCAAGGAAACTGGTGTTTGCTTGTCTGCTTTATCTCTGTAGACAATGAAGAGTTCAGCCTTAGACTCTGTAACTGTTTTCTCATCCTTAGCTGAAAATAAGGGAAGCATACTGTATTGCAAGACTGTTTGGAGATTGGGGTGTGGGGGATGGTCCCTTCATGGCCCCTGAAGATGTTTTGTGTATTTCTAAAAAGCTGCTTTGTCCATTTCCTGAGTTTTAAAGTGAAGCTTCTAAACATCAGTAGATTCGCACGACAAAGACTGAGAACTGATGAAAATGAAGGAGTGATGCAAAAAAAAAAAAAAACCCAACCACATATTGATCATCAAAAGTATTACAAATAAATGTCTTTTCCTCTCTCCCTTCCTTCCTCCTCCCTCTCACCTACATACTCAGCCTTGTTGCTAGAGGCAGCTACTTCCTCTAGAGTATTCACAGATCCCTGGACATCCTGGTCTTCCAGGTGGGGTTCCAGGGTGAAGGCGTAGTTAAGGGAAGGGATGTGTAAGGAAAGACGCCTCACACCCTTCACTCTCACATCTGAACATACTGCCTTTCCAGCTACCTTGCCCTTGGTATGCTGGGGGCCAGGAGCACCATGTTTCCAAGAGTGAAATAAAATGTTCCTGAGCCCCTTGACTGTTCTAAGAGTTTCTATGTTAAATTTGAAGCCTTCAGAGATTCCCGCCACCTAATATAAGAATGACGATAGGATTCTTTTACATTTGGATATCTCACTCATTATGAAAATCCCTAATGATATAGTTTTATATAATGTGTATACAGATGATTGTGAATAGTTAAATTGAGAGGTTAGAGCACCTTGTGGGGCATTGGTGACCTGGAATACAAGAGGGATGTTACCTTCTCATAGAGTCATTGACTTACAGGAGAAGGAGAAGCAATTCTAAAAGGAGAAGTTGGCATATGCAGCTTCCTTTCTGCCCTATGGGCTAGCCAGCAAGAGGATTCTACAGTCATGGAACTGGATGAGCCACCGCCCAAACAGCTGCCATCTTTACAAAATGGACCCATCAAGAATATTGAAAAGCTTGGAAGTATCACTTTTGAAAAAATTCTTTTGCATTCAGCATGGACTTGACCAGCATCAATGGAGATTATTTTTTTGCTTCATTTTCTAAAGTTGTATTTAGAAAAGTCTTAAGTATTGTGCTTTGTAAAGAAGATGATTAAAATGAAGTTTTGTGAAAATATTTTTGTTCAAAGTTGTCATAGTCCAAGAGGAATGATATCTTGGAATTCAAGTCATTTTTCTCCATTTTACACAGTTTGATTACTCTCAGATAAATGTCTTCAGAAGACATGGAATATCATGCTCCTCCCTCATCTTTCCCAAGTGAAGAGAAATAATCCATTAAAATCTGTGGCTGTGAATTCCATTTCCAAGTTGTTTGATTTTGCTTTCATATTTAAGCGGGAGATTCAGGTTAGGTCTAAATTCTTTTTAGTGTAAAAATCATTAAATTATTATTCAAATAATTGTGTAGAGCCATTTTTATTCATACACAGCCCTCTAGACAGCATACTCAAGCACACTTGTTTCTCCCATAAAGACAGCCTGTACCTGTGATCACGTGTGTGTCTTCAGTTACTAATCACAGGCTTTTTATTTCCTTACATAACCATCTCCTGGATGGGAAAACCACAGGGTATATAATTTATTGCTTACAGTTGCCATGATCTGTATAAAAATAAGCCCCAGGTCCTACAAAGGCCTTTGTATTGTAACCTGAGGTCATCATGGTCTCCTTTTTTTGTATAATACTAGGTTTTAGTCCTCTAGTTATTTTATCACAAATTAGTTATTTTATCACAAATTAGTTATTTTATCACAAATTAATGTCAAGATGTTTTAGCACCAAAGGGATTTGGTTAAAAAAAAGTGTTTCTCTTTGGTTTTGTACAAATGAAAAGTCTAACAAAGCAATGCTTGTGTGGGTGATAGGTGTCTAGTGTGGCTAATTGCAGTTTCCAACAGAGCGAAGGCTTGGTTCTTTCGACCCAAGCCGGAGGAAGAAGATGCCAGTCCCCAAACTGGCTCTAAAGAGGAAACACAATGACCAGGGCAGAGAAAACTCTTTCCTAACCAGAAGTAAATGGTTGTCAGTGTGGTATGAACAGAGAGGGGTCATGTCTCTTAAGGTGTTGAACCTTTGCTGTCATTCTTAGTTCTGTCCCTAGGCTTTCCCAACATGTGGAACAGAAGACAGCATCTGAAGCAGGGAGAATCCATGAAGCAGCTGCAGATTCCTGAGGTGGTTTTATGTCATACCTTTTTCAGTTCAGTTCAGTCACTCAGTCATGTCTGACTCTTTGCGACCCCATGAACTGCAGCACACCAGGCTTCCCTGCCCATCACCAGCTCCTGGAGTCCACCCAAACCCATGTCCATTGAGTCGGTGATACCATCCAACCATCTCATCCTCTGTCATCCCTTTCTCCTCCCGCCTTCAATCTTTCCCAGAATCAGGGTCTTTTCAAATGAGTCAGCTCTTCGCATCAGGTGGCCAAAGTATTGGAGTTTCAGCTTCAACATCAGTCCTTCCAGTGAACACCCAGGACTGATCTCCTTTAGGATGGACTGGTTGGATCTCCTTGTAGTCCAAGGGACTCTCAAGAGTCTTCTCCAACACCACAGTTCAAAAGCATCAATTCTTCAACCTTTTTAAGTGACCCCAAATTGGAGTGGTCTTGGAGCAGCCTCTCCGCATAAATGAAAAAGTGTGTGCAAACCATATTTGTGAATTGAGAAGCCCCAGTAAAATGGGCTATTATTCCTTTTTTCTTGTTGGAGTAATAGGTGATAAGATGTTTCAACAAAGCAATAGAACAAGGTAACATAGTCGGTTGTAACTAGAATTTTCTAAGGAAAAAATAGAGAAAAAAAAAACTGACTAAAAAGAGTTCCTGGAGAACCAGGTTCATGGGGCAGTCTTATTTCAATGGCAACAGATTTAATTAAATTATACAGATAAACAGGGTCATTTACATCATGAATGCTTCCCTTCCCTCTCACCCCTATAGACTGACTAGTTCTCCAAGAAACTGAGATGTGTCGGCAAACTTTGAGCACTTTGGTGGGAAATTGCCCTGGAAAGGCAAAACTTCATTATAATTTGTGTTAATTTTTTAAAAAAGTCTTAAAGGGTTTACAAGCCAATTTTTAAAATAACCAAGCTAATAAAGTGATACAGAAGAACCACAAAGAAGTCAATAGCGTTTCCAAGATTATTCCCTAAGAGAAAAACAGAAATGTCTTCGGGGAAATGGAGTGGGTTCTCTTGAAACTTCATGAGTATTTCTTATTTTGGGGCCTAATTTGAGAGAACAAGGAACTTGACTGGGGCTGGAGCTGTGTTGTTGAATGCTGAAGGGAGGCTAGGTGAACAGGGACCCTTGTATGAAACACCCACCTATCCCCCCTGCCTTGGCCCAAGGAGGCTCTCAAAAAAAAAAAATGCTCTTGTTTGTTCTCAATCAAGGCAATCTCCATGGAGGAAGTGAATTTGGAATGAAGAGAGAGAGAAGTCTCAAAGGGAACTTTGGGCCTCGAAGGACAAATGACCTACTTTTAAAAGGGTGCATCTAGTGCTGAAAATGTGGCAGGGGGTGATGAGGAAGACAAAAAGGAGGAGGCAGAGCAGAGTATGAGACACTTTGAGATAAGAGGGGACACCACGTGCTAAGGTGTCCCATGTCATGCCTGTTGACAAGAATCCTACCAATGAATCTTCTAAGGTTTAGAGGACCAGAGTAGTGACTATAGGTTCAAATGTAGAA